TAATTGTCTAGGCTAATAAAACATAGACAGTTGAAAAGAAAATTCTTAGCAATTGAATAATCCACACCTTAGAAGGAAAGCTGAAGGACAGGAAGCTACAGAAAAAAAAAAGTAATTGCAAGTAAATTTGCCAATATAATGCTGTTTTTTTACCCCTTAAGTAGAGGGATTTCTTTCAAACTATGTTGTTGCTCTTACAATTTTTGTAGCCATGTACAGATGATGAAAAAGGGTGAATTTTGTGGGGTCTGTTTTCAGTTGTAGGAATTTGTGAAGTGAATTTTTGTGAAGGAGCCGGCACAAAGGAGATACTAGACATATAACACATAACATCTGCAAATTATTACTAAACTCAGAGGGAATTTAATAGGGTATACCTCTTAAAAAATGGTTTTTAATAATTTGGTGTTTTAACTTATTTAGTGACTTATTTTAGCTTATTGGGTATACTATTCCCAGTCCCATTACTGATTTTTACCACTCTGTGGTGATAACACATACCCTAATAAAGACTCCTATATATTTGATTTAAAAACCATTGAGATGTGAAAAAGGTTCAGTAAGCCAAACACTAGAAATAGCGTCAGCTATATTATACATTGTACATGTATAAATGTATTTTTGTATAGATGTACTTTACACAGCAAATACCTAAAAACTGTATGTGAATTGAATACTTTTGAATGTAAGCAGTTTAAATAAAACCTGTGGTTAGTCCTTCAGTCAGTCAACACTCACTTGTTTTGTAAATTTGATTCTAATATTGGATTTTATCAGAATGAAGCATACCTGTATAGGCATATAGAATATGAGCATGTTATGAAAGAAGCCCTTTAAAAAAGGAGTTCAGCTTACTTTTATAAACACCAAAACACTCTCTGCCTGTAAAATGTTTTTACTAAAGTTTGTATTATTGACTCAATTTTACATCTTCATGTTTTTGAGGTACACTACTAGGACTATCTGTGCATACAGATTTTTGTCAACTCTCTCCTATACCCTTAATAAATCAGTTAACTTTAAAAAAAAATTGTCAACATTTCTATAGAATACATGTTCATTAAAAAAAATCATATTTAGCTTATACAGAAATAAAAAAAATTGTCAACATTTCTATAGAATACATGTTCATTAAAAAAAATCATATTTAGCTTATACAAAAAAATCATATTTAGCTTAAGTCATTTCCACTCACAACGAATTTCTATTTTATAAAAATGTAGCTTATGTTTCAGAGTGTAATAAAATTTAATGCAAGAAATAAACTGAGTGAGTTAAGTGATTATTCTTAGTATACTTTTTTAGTGTCAATTATTTGAGGTGGTGGTGGAAGAGATGTGTAATGAGGTTAATAGGTTTTAAAAATTGCAATGGAAAATATGCTTGTTGGCATATTTCTAAGAGGTATGTTAATGTGACAGAAAGAACAATTATATATAACTGAAACCCTGGATTACCTTTTCATTTTCCATGTGCTGATCGAACAGCAACTATCACATGTAAAACTACAGTAGCCCTTCTTCCAATCTTAGTCAAACTAAGATCTTGAGAACTGACGTTCCATAAGGATTGGTTTATACCACTACTGACAATTAAATGAGTTTCTGTAAAATAAAGTATCACTAATACATATGTTTATATGCACACATTAATACATTTCAGTCAAGATTCTATATTTTTATCTAATGGTGCTTTGAAATGGGTGTATCTTTTTAAGAGGCAGCCTTCTGTTGTGACATGCTCTTCTCCTTGCTAAGATGTCCCTTTGGTCTTTCTGGCACCTGCTCATGCTCACATGGAAAACTATGAAGGTGATCCATCTAAAATGGAAACTTAACCATCTCCCTCCTTGCCTGGAATCTTTCATTGGTTCTCTATTCCCTATTCCCCATAAAAAAAAAAAACAAAAATCCCTCCTTGCCTGGAATCTTTCATTGGTTCTCTATTCCCTATTCCCCATAAAAAAAAAAAAAACAACAACAAACCCCAAATTAATCTACCTTATAAGATAAAGCTGCAGTCCACCTTTCTATTTTGGTATTTCCTACTTCAGCCTGAATGCTGTGTTTTACTGCTTGTACCACACAGCTTCACACCTCAGGCTTTACTCGGACTACTCCCTTTGCCTAGAATGTACATTCCTCTGTCACTTTTTTTTTTGGTAACACCGTTTTTATTATTTTATTGAAATATAATTGATTGTACATATCTGTTACCTTCTCTTGGTTAACTCCTGCTCATCCTGGAAGACCTAGTGGAAGCATTCTCCTCCAAGCATTGCTTCCATCTTTATTTAGGCTTTGGTGTACTGATCCCTGATAATCTGTATCTCTCACGAGACCATATGCTGTTCTGTGCTGGGATCACTAAGTCACTCTTTTTCTTATTTTGTTTTTAAAACCCAGTANAATAAATCAGTTAACTTTAAAAAAAAATTGTCAACATTTCTATAGAATACATGTTCATTAAAAAAAATCATATTTAGCTTATACAAAAAAATCATATTTAGCTTAAGTCATTTCCACTCACAACGAATTTCTATTTTATAAAAATGTAGCTTATGTTTCAGAGTGTAATAAAATTTAATGCAAGAAATAAACTGAGTGAGTTAAGTGATTATTCTTAGTATACTTTTTTAGTGTCAATTATTTGAGGTGGTGGTGGAAGAGATGTGTAATGAGGTTAATAGGTTTTAAAAATTGCAATGGAAAATATGCTTGTTGGCATATTTCTAAGAGGTATGTTAATGTGACAGAAAGAACAATTATATATAACTGAAACCCTGGATTACCTTTTCATTTTCCATGTGCTGATCGAACAGCAACTATCACATGTAAAACTACAGTAGCCCTTCTTCCAATCTTAGTCAAACTAAGATCTTGAGAACTGACGTTCCATAAGGATTGGTTTATACCACTACTGACAATTAAATGAGTTTCTGTAAAATAAAGTATCACTAATACATATGTTTATATGCACACATTAATACATTTCAGTCAAGATTCTATATTTTTATCTAATGGTGCTTTGAAATGGGTGTATCTTTTTAAGAGGCAGCCTTCTGTTGTGACATGCTCTTCTCCTTGCTAAGATGTCCCTTTGGTCTTTCTGGCACCTGCTCATGCTCACATGGAAAACTATGAAGGTGATCCATCTAAAATGGAAACTTAACCAACTCCCTCCTTGCCTGGAATCTTTCATTGGTTCTCTATTCCCTATTCCCCATAAAAAAAAAAAACAAAAAAACAACAAACCCCAAATTAATCTACCTTATAAGATAAAGCTGCAGTCCACCTTTCTATTTTGGTATTTCCTACTTCAGCCTGAATGCTGTGTTTTACTGCTTGTACCACACAGCTTCACACCTCAGGCTTTACTCGGACTACTCCCTTTGCCTAGAATGTACATTCCTCTGTCACTTTTTTTTTTGGTAACACCGTTTTTATTATTTTATTGAAATATAATTGATTGTACATATCTGTTACCTTCTCTTGGTTAACTCCTGCTCATCCTGGAAGACCTAGTGGAAGCATTCTCCTCCAAGCATTGCTTCCATCTTTATTTAGGCTTTGGTGTACTGATCCCTGATAATCTGTATCTCTCACGAGACCATATGCTGTTCTGTGCTGGGATCACTAAGTCACTCTTTTTCTTATTTTGTTTTTAAAACCCAGTACAGGTTGCTGAGCTGTGGGGTTGGGAGATGGTGTGCAGAACATTGACATATAATTTGCTTAGTTAATAGAGTGACGCCACTTTAAAGACTAAATATGTAAAATTCATAACTGTAGGAAGGAGCTGCTGCCTGAGAACAGTGTGACTATTACATGTCATTACAGTGCGTCTTTCTTTTATCCCCTTTTTCTCCAGACTTATCTTGCTGTATAGTCCATTAAATGAAGGCATCTGAGTGTTCATCTGATAACCAGATTTTTAAAATTCTGTATCATTTTACAGATTTTATTTTATTAATTTTATTTATTTTTTAAAAAGATGGCTGGTAAGGGGATCTTAACCCTTGGCTTGGTGTTGTCAGCACCACGCTCAACCAGTGAGCTAACCGGGCATCCCTATAGAGGATCCGAACCCATGGCCTTAGTGTTATCAGCACTGCACTCTCCTGAGTGAGCCACGGGCTGGCCCTTATTTTACAGATTTTAATTGGCAAACACTAGATATTCAGTAATAAGGTGTGTTCAGGATATGGGAGTGTAGTGAGATCATGGCATCCAGACCTTCCTGTCATCTCAGAATCCTGTGTTTTGGAAAACTTATTTTCTTTAGGAAAGTTATTTCTCTCTCAAGCTGTGGGATTCAAAACTAAAACGTCAAGTATGAAATACCTGCTCATCTTCCTGATCTAATATTTCAATTTTTAAAGACAGTCCTTGTTCCTGAGAGACTTTGATTTTGTCATAAATAAATAAGCTATTCCTCCACAGCCGATCTGCCAAGCAACACTGTTGGCCCTGTTACTAGGAAAGTAACTTTATTGGTAATTGAACTACATCAGCAGCCTGATTTGTACTACAAAGGTAAAAGCCATTATGCATCTTCATGTCCAATGACCACTTACTGAAAACGGATTGAAAAGGGTGTGAAGACCTGTCTTTCAGAATGTCGATAAAGTCCTTCCTCTCCACAAGTCAGATTTATATTCAACTACATTCTTCTTTATCCTAATGCACTTTTCTTGGAGGTGACTCTTTTAACATAGGGCAACCACCTGTTAATCCCATGCCAGCACATGGTGTAGATAAAGAAAATTCCTCATGAGCTACCACATTGAGGACTATAATATTTACTTTCAGGTAGATTCCATTATATGTCCTATTTTCTTTTTTGATTATTTGTATTCTTACCTGGGAACTCTGGGGGCACATTTGCAAGACTGGGAAGAACAGTAAAGGTTAAGAACAATTGAGAACTTCTGTACAAATAACATAGAACAACTTAGTTATTTTAGTTGGGACTTAAGAAACTCAACTGTACGAATGAGGTCTTTGGCAAATTGTAAATAATTTTTTATGTTTATTTCAGAATAGCTTGGGAAGACATAAGCAGAAATTACTGGCAAAGCAAAGCAAATAAAAGATAGCAAATAATAAAGTGATTATTGTAGCACTTTAGTCTTAAACTACCTTTTCAGTACATTTGCACATACCAGATAAAACTGTGGAAAGCAGTTGAGAAATATTCTGTTAAAAGTGTCTAGAATAACATCACTCAGATTGAGTATAAAATATTTTGTGGTCCCTTCGGCATAAACATGCCTCAGCCCTCTTTGGTTGGTTGTCTTTCTTTTCAGTTAATTCTTACTTTACAGCACCTGATGTGATTTACAGCACATGAAGTGATTTCAGACCATGCCCAAGATACGGGCCACCCACCAGCTACATGGCATGATGACCCTGCAGGCTGAACGGCAACCTTGATAATTATAAGGCCATGGATAATAGCCCCCCAGGGGTTCACAGATCTTCTGGCAGTGGGTGTAGCTCCGTCTGCATTCTATACAGCAGATTCCTTCGTGATCCAGTCTAGGGTCGAATGTCATGCTTTCTCCTTCCTGCTGCTGTGAAATAAAAGACAATTATCTGTTTTCTTCATAATCAGAAGGTTATACTTTGCATGTTATTTTTAAATAAGATCCTAAATTCTTCACTGCTAGAAGAAATCAGCATAATCTGCTTTAAGAAGTTTTCAATCTTGTAACCTTCCAATATTCACAATTCCTTCCGACATCAGGAGCCTTCACCTACCTAATCTGTTACTGGAAGAAAGGTGTGTTATGTGTTTTTAATGATTCCCTGAAGTTTCTCCATGCGTTTAATGAGCCATGGTTACCACTCAATAATGACTCAACTTGTTTTAAGTAGGAAAACCAAAAGGAAGTATGATCAAAAGTAGCATTTCTGCCACTACTGATTTTAAGTCTAGAACACTGGTGCCTTCTCGTAGTAATGGCTTCCAGGGCTTTTGGGAGCACATTTTGAAACTCATTGATCTAGGCTAGCAACAGATTTCCATTCTAGTTGCACCGGCTCTGAGAACACTGTCAAGTCATTTAGTTTCTCCTGCCTTTATTTCAGCAACAGAATGCCGCTGTCTCCTCGGGGACATAAGGGACACTCAGGAGGAAAAGTCTCCATAAAAATACGTAAAAATTCAAGACCTTAAAGTTCTGGTTATCATGTGCCATAATCATAGGTATGTAAAAGCAAAATCATGTTGATGAAATAAAAATCTGCATTTCATTTCTGAGGGATCATAGAACTAGAAGGAACTTGCCCCCTGGCCAATTTACATATCTGGCTTTCCTTTTCAAGGATTTCTAGGGGTAGAGATTCTGCATCTTTAGTAAGATATTGTATTACATTGCCAAGAAGCCTTGTAATGTAGACTCTTGATTCAATTTAAACCCTTTTTCTGGAGGTAGCTGATTCCAGTATTTAAAAAGCCTATGACTTTTTAAAAAAAGGCATTATGACATTTCACCCATAAGTACATTAGAATGTATCTCCCAAAGAGGATATTTTCCACAACCACACTGCCATTATCACACCTAACAAAATTAACAATTCCTTAACACTATCTGATAACAGTCTTATGTTCAAATTTGTCATCAAAATATCATTTAATGCCTTACTCTTTTATACCATTCTTTTTTTAGTTTACTCTTTTTTCTTCCATATCTCTTGAAATAAGTTCATTTGAGATAGCAAAAATACCATTAATTAATTGTAGCTGACTTGTCTGGAGTAGGGAGAGTCAAAAGGCCTGTTGATTGAGGCATATCCTCATCTGAGGGCTTGTTGACAAAATTTTGTTAGGATTAAAAAGTTGGAAGTAGTTGCACTAAGATATTTTCTTCAAGGAATATGAGAAGGACTGAGATCATGGGGAGAAATGCTTTAAGCAATGAAGCTAAACATTTAATAAAGGAAAAAAAATTAGGATTTTTCAAAGAATATGAATCAAGTCTGGAATCAGGGCAAAGTCACACCTTGCCCTTCTGTAAAGGGGCTGATGTCCTCATCCCTTAAATCACATTCAGCCAGCCAGCTTACCTAGGGAATAAACTATATTAAATTTTGTTTGCCTATTCAGATTTTATTTTTTATTATTCTTTGAGCCTAGGGAATGAAGTACTGTGTAGTCCTGAATTTTTTGATAAGCCTTGGGTTATTTAGAAAATACTTTTTGCTCTAAATCTTTCTAAAATATATTAGTCTAAAATGATAAACTAGAAAGTATATTTGCAAGGATATGAAACTGTAGGATTGAATAGGCTACATAGAAAAAAAAAATACACAAATGACTTAGTGTATGAAAATATGCTTAACCTTACACATGATTAAAGACAGGCAAGATAAAACACCCAGGAGGTAAAATTTACACCCAAGAGATTGGCAAAGATTTTTCAAAAAGTTTGATAATAAGTAGACCCTTTCATTACCATTTAGAGACACTTAACTAGTGTAATTCCTGGAAAGGCAGTTTAGTATTTGTCCTTAAAATGTAAAAGTTGCATCTACTTTGACATGGCAGACAGACCCATGCTTCAGTATTTATGCTAAAGATATACTTCCATGTCTGTACAAGAGGTATAATACTAATAGCTAACACTGAGCAAGTTAATGCTTACTGTGTACCAATCCCTGTGCTAAGAGCTTCACCTGAATTACCTCATTTACTCCTTCCCATAACCCTGTGAGTCATGTACAAGGTTGTTTACTGTAGCAATATCCAAAAGCAAAAGATAGAGTAATAATTTATATGTTCATCAAAGCAGAACTCATTCCTGTACATCTCTCCATACAATGGGATACCATTAAATGAACAATAGTCATTAAATGGATGAGGTATTATGTAGGAGATACAGAATAATCTCCAAAATGAATCATTAAATGAAGTAGATCTATGTAAGAGATACAGAACAGTCTCCAAAATGCTGTATTGTAACTGGAAAGGAAGCAAGATATAGAACTTTTGTGTTTAAAATTTTGTGTGTGTGTGTATTTATGCAAAGAGACTGGGCAAATATTGTTAATAGTTGTTGCTTTGGGGAGGGTGTATGGGGTGGAAGGGAAACTCACTTATTGAATACCCCCTTGTGTTGTTTTTGGAAATAATGTGCATGTATTTTTTTAGTTTTATTTTAAAAAGCAGTTACAAATAAATATTTATTTTTCTACTTTCACTCCCTGCAAATATTTCATAGAAGGTTTAAGTTTTTAGCACCTTAGTGTCATCCTCACAAACATCAGTTCTCAATGTTTCAGTCTAAAAAGTTTTATCTATGTATGAGACTATCCCCAGACTGGACTGAGAGTCCCTGAGGGCAGAAGTTACTCCTGACTGTGCACAGGGCCTGGAAAAGAGCCCTGTCTGTTAAATGGATGAACGAAGTGGTTACAAAGGGGAATGAGAATACTTTCTTTCCATGTGTTGCCTTCAGGGTACAGTCTTGAAAACATTTTTAGATAGTCAAATTCTTGATATGAATTTGTTTTCATGGAGTTGCCTGTGACCAAGAAAAAAAAAGAACACAGAAAACAACTCGGAATAAGGGTCACAACCAATCTGGGTTTTATACCACAGAGGCAATACTTAAATGTTCTTACCCTTAATTATAAGTCTGGCATCAGATTAAGATGCATTTTAAAAATAATTGAGTGCAAGTCTCCGTTGAATACTGAATGTTCATTTGAAACCTAAAGTAGAAACACCATTTCAATACTATGTTTAATGCATTGGTCTGAGCATTTCATGA